CTGGAGTCAGAAACTAACGGCAGATTCCCTTCTCTAAAAGGCATTAATGAACCAGACAAGTTTTAGAATCCCTACAATGTGGAAGCAGGCCATTCAACCCATCAAGTCCACACCGAGCTTCTGAAGAGCATCCCACCCAGACTTACACCCCTGCCCTATACCTGTAACCCTGCTTATCCTATGCCTAATCCACCTAACCTACATATCCCTGGACACTATGGCAATTTATCAGGGCCAATCCACCTAACCTGCAAACCTTTGGACTGTGGGAGGAAACCGGAGCGCCTGGAAGGGACCCATGCAGACACAGGGAGTTGCCCGAGGGTGGAATTGAATCTAAGTCCCTGGCTCTGTGAGGCAGCAGTGCTAATCACTGAGCCACTCCATGGATCCCATGGCCTGGTGGGAAAGACGGATGTGATTAATGGTTTCTTCTATTGTGGTTATGTATGGTCCTTATCTGACAATAGATAGAAGATGTCAGAATTGATTTAGTAAATCTTGGTCACCATACTGAAGCCGGAGCTCTAGTTTTACATTTAGTAGTGCCTAGGTGTCCTTGATTGCTTTACAATGACCGACAGTGATCCCATTGTACCATTACTGAGATTAGCTTTATATTCCAGATTTATTCATTGAATTCAAATTCTATCAGAAGCCGTGATGCGATTTGAACCCATAACACGAAACAAAGACAGAAAGAATAGAATCCTTACAGTGTGGAAACAGGCCCTTCAGCCCAACAAGTCCACACTGACACTTAGAGCATCCCACCCAGACCCATCCCCCTATAATCCACCTAATTTACACACCCCTGAACACTATGGTCAATTTAGCATGGCCAATCCACCTAACCTGCACATCTTTGGACTGTGGGAGAAAACTGGAGCACCCAGAGGAAACCCATGCAGACATGGGGAGAATGTGAAAACTCCACACAGACAGTCACCCAAGGGTGGAATTGAACCTGGGTCCCTGGTGCTGTGAGGCAGCAGTGCTAACCACTGAGCCACCGTGCCACCCCCTCTGTAAATATTAAACAGCTGATAAGTGCTGAAGAAATTCAGCAGGTCTGGCAGCATCTGTAGAGAAAAAAACAGAATTAACGTTTTGTGTCCCTTTGGCAAAACTGAAAGTAGAGTGGCCTTATTTCTCCAGAACACGAACCTAGGCCCCTGGATGATCAGTCCCGTGACAATACTGCTATGTCACCAACCACGGGTCATTGTTAATGGTGCCAAGCATCAATCCTGTACTCTGCACAAAACAAATTCAGCAGTTCTGAGGAAAGGTCACCAGACCCAAATGTTAACTCTGATTTTTTTCTTCACAAATGCTGCCAGACCTGCTAAGCTTTTCCAGCAACTTCTATCTTTGTTCCTGATTTTCAGCTTCCGCAGTTCTTTCGGTTTAAATACAACTATAATTCATCCTTTATGATTAGGGAGTGTTTTCTTCTCTTTTTCATCATTCATTACTGACCATGACTCTGATCTCGCTGTTTGTGCACCTTCCCTGCAGCTGTAACGTTGTATTCCTTGCTCTATTACCCTTATGCACTTTGTATGGTATGATCTGCCTGTACTGCACACAAAACAAAACTTTTCACTGTACCTAGGTATATGTGACAGTAATAAATCAAATCAAAAGCAAATGTGTGCGCTTGCAAAATTACTGCATTGTTGCTGTGTTAAATTACGTGTTCTTTTTCTAAAATTGTAATCGTACCATATTTCTACATCATATCCCTCCCATCTACTCTAGTCACAGCTTTCTGCAACTGAGATGCTAATCTGTTTGCATAAAATCAAAATACTGCAGGAAAATCTCAGCAAGTCAGGCAAGATCTGCAGGAAGGCAGAGTTAAAGCGGGGTGGGGTGTGGATTTTATAGAGACATCAGGAGTCTCACCTGCGGGCTGGAGAGCTAGCAAGAGGCATGTGTCATGTCCTCTAGCAAGACCCATCAAGTACCTCCACAGTCATGGTTAGCCTTCCCTGGGGTTGAAGGTATGGCGAGGGGGGGCTGAAATGCCACACTCTGTGAGCTGTCGGCCAATCAGCGTCCAGCGGCTGTATTGCTCACCAGCGCCATGAGGTGGTAGCTGTGGGCATGACAATGACAGGAGGATCCAGATTGAAAGTTAAGGCATGGTTGGAGAGGTTTCACAGGGTGGGGGTCACAGTAAGGGACTTAGAGGGGAGATGGGTTGGTCCCAGCAGGCCTCTCCCATCCTTCTTGATGCCCTGTCACTTGATTGGGCACTGACTGCCTTGAACGAGGGATCCCGATTCTCCAGAGAGAGCATAATAGTCCCACCCACCTCTGCAGGTGGGTCGACAATCTGAGTAGCGAGACAAATCTGATAATTATCATTATTTAGCTGGTTGGGAAGCCTGACCATGGGTCTTCCTGTCTGCACTTAACCTTGGTGGAGATGGGGAGATGATGAACTGCTCACATGCCAGCCTACTGCCTGATTAAATAGCCTGTCTGTTTCCAAACATTTCATACAGACCAGAAAATAACCCCCTCAATGTTTCAGGTCACCTTTACCTGAGGAATGGCACCTTACCTTTCAGCTCAACACTTTCCATCTATCTACTCAACACTGAGCTCAACAACTTTAGATTCTGACTCCAATCTTCTCTTGTTCTGTGTTTTCATTTTGTTCTTTGTTTAAAAAAATATTTTGCTGGGTCAGTCTTCATCTTGTTTCTTTTCTTTACGTTCTCAGGTTACATCCAAACGGTTTTGTGTAGCCATTCGCGTCTCATTTCGACATAACCCTGCTTTCGTTATTCTATCTATTACCTCTCTCTTTGGCTATAATATCATAAAATCTTTTATTATTTAATTTTTCCTTCCCCTGACCCTTTGTGTTCTTTCTGGTCTCCTCCAACTAATTTATACTGTCTTAAAATACACTTATTTTTAAAACTTTTCTTCAGTTGTGATGAGAAGGCCACTCAACCTGAAAGGTTAACCCTGCTTCTGTTTTCAGAGCCCAAGTTTTTGCATCATTTGTTTTGTTTTTCATTAGCATGTTTATGACTGTGGTGCCAGTGTGTATCTGGGTGCATGTTATAGTCTGGTTCGTGGCAATCAAAACTGAGCGGTAAATATTGCTGCAATTAGAATTGTGTTGACAGTTGTTTAGCAACATTTTTGTGTGGAGTCAGTTTTCTCATTGTATGCTACTCGTTGTGTGTTTATGCGGGCATGGTATTTAATATGGAACAAAGCCATTCCAAGCTGCACACGTGTGTATTTTGTTCAGAACATTATTGCTACGTTACATTATTATCATTTGCAGTTGTTTAGGCTACAGTTAGGCTGTGTTTTGTACAAATGTATCGCCATAATGATTAACCATCAAATTGAAGGGAAGCTATAGCAGGTAAGGAGGCCATTCACCCTGCCCTGTTCATGCTGGCTATATTGTAGACGTAATTCAGCTCATCCTGCTCTCCTGCCATTTCCCTGTGGTCGTGCAAATAGTTTCTGTTCAGATAATTATCTGATTTCCTTTCGAAAGCCACAATGGAACTAACCTCTACCACACACTCAGGCAGTGCAATTCCTTACCATTCACCATGAGGAGGAGATATTCCCCAGGCCACCTCTGGTTCATTCACCAATCAATTAAATCCTTAAATTGGTGCTGTTTGGCTGTCGATCCTTCCACCAATGAAACTGTTTCTCCTCATCTACTCCACACTCCTTATGTTTTAGACACCTCTAACAATACACATTTCAATCTTCTTTAAAGAGAGCAGGCCCCCATTTCTTCAATTCTGAAGAAGGATCACTGGACCCAAAACGTTAACTCTGCTTTCTCTCCACAGATGCTGTAAGACCTGCTTGGGTACCTCCAGCAATTACTGTTTTTGTTTCAGATTTCCATCATTTGCAGTTATTTGGTTCTTCTCATATCTCCTCATGTAGTTTGGTATCATATTTTGCATGTTAATGCTTCTGTGAAGTGATGTGGTACTTCTTACTGCTCTCAAGGTGCTATTGAAATCCAAGTTGTGTGCTAAATATATCACTGTTGTAAAACAGGATTGACACTGAGCCTGTTACTCACACTGAACGATGGTGCATTCCTTCTGCACATATTTCACATTCATGTTTCTGTGGATCACAGCAGGATCCCTTCAGAAAATGGCTTTTAAAAAATGACAAACATAAGAATCAGCTATTTCCCTTCCATGGGTACTGTTACATTTTTTAAAAATGCTTTCAAATATAATATTCCTTTATTTTAATAGATGTCAGCTCACCCTCAATCCCAGATTCTTTACAACCTAACTCATGATCATTTCGTGAAGGGACAATTAACAAACCTAACATAAAGGTTTGTGCAATGCACTGAAAAATGTTTTGCTATGTATGTACAATATGCACCCAGGCGCACACTCACCCACAATGTGGGATATTTTGAAATGAATGGTATGCTGGTCCAGTTACACTGCTTTGCTTCCTCATGTGGCGCTTTGAACTCACGCTTATTTGACATTCAAAAGTGTTTGTCAGATCACATTTTTTTTTGTTGGTGCCCTAATTTTTTTAAAATACCTATTGCAAGCTATTAGATCGAAGGATGGGTTTTCAGGCAGTGAAACAGCTGGATTAAAATATTGGGAGCTGCTGCATTATATCTGACTCTTGATAAGAGTACTCTTTCTGGCGTATCCAGTTACAAGCCCCTTTCCATCAGTTGGGTTGTTCTATCATACTGCTGTCACAATGCCTCTTTGCACTGCTACTGTGTGGAAATGTCAGGGACATATGTGCTTGCCACTTCTCATTTGTACTGCTAGGTGCCTGCTGAATTCTCTGTGCAACAAGCAATGGCACCAATGCATACGATAGACCTAACAACTATATTTACTGCGACCAGTTTAAAAAAGAAAGCAGTCACGACTACCATCACACAGCAAGCGCGAGAATCCACAACCACAACTAAAAAAGCAAAATCATTTGTTTTCTTTGAGGTGGAAATCCTTGATGCCAAGACCAAGGAACAGCTGTGCTTCCTCGACAAGGTGAGAATGTAAACCTTACTCCCCGCATGTATTAATTATAGCTATTGGTTCCGTGACATGTAAATATTTTATGTAGTTTGCTTTTGATCCATGGGTTCTTTCATAGTACTCACTGAATACAAAGGTATCCCAGCCTTTGTACTGAGTAGGAAGGTGTTCCAACCTTCTGTCTATTCTTACACCATATACATTGATTAATTAATTTGGAGGGCATTGTTGAAGTGACTTTGTTGGTACACATTTAACCAGCTCACAAAGACTGAAGACTAGATTGAAGGCTTTTGCGAAAAAAAATCTGCCTTTGTTGCAGGGCAGTGGAATTTATTCCAACCACCGCCTGTCTCCCTTAGCATCTGAATGTCACAGTAATGAATGGCTGTGTCCTTGGTTCAGCATATTTTAAGACTTTTTTTTTGTCTTGAAATCTGCATTTCAATGTATGAGACTCCCTTTCTGCTTCAAGTTTGAAGGGTGCTACTGACTGCATTTTATCATCTTATTTAGGTGGAGCCAAATGCTACAGTTGGAGAAATTAAATCTATGTTCCATAAGTCATGTAAGTAAAAACATCTGAGCAGACTTTGTAGAATCCCAATGACAGCATCCTTGTCATGTTTTTGAATTCATTTGTCCATTTTTGTTTTCAGTTTGTCCATTGCTTTACTTTCTTTCTCCCTTCTTTCTGTCAAAATGCAGTTGATGTCACTATTTTTAGTCCAGAAACTTCTTTCCTTTGCTGTTTGGAGTTGAAGTGGTTTGTAAGCAAAATCCCATAGAGGTTATAAATCATTAGCTACAAATCCTTTTGGACGGGTTGTCAATTCCTGGATTTTAGTCTATTTATTCCTCTCTCCACCAGCTGCCCACGGGGATAAATTTAATAATAGTTAATATGAGGAAGAAATTTGATAGCTAGAAAGCAGAAATAAAACCAAATAGACTTAAGGCAATATGGGAGAAATAGCAGCTTCAAAAAGGAGGTAGATTGGATGCAAACTTGATGTGTTTTTACGTGGTGGGGTGGGGTGGGAGAGGTGTGGGGAAGAAGGATATCTGTAGTTAGAGCTCTCTTACATAGAAACATAGAAACTAGGAACAGGAGTACACCATTAGCCCTTTGAGCCTGCTTCACCATTCAAAGTAATTGTGGCTGATCCTCCATCTCAATGCCACATTCCCATTTTCTCCCCATACCCCTTGATGCCTTTAAAGTATAAAAATCTAACCATCTCTTTCTTGGATATATTCAGTGATCCGGCCTCCACAGCCTTCTGTGGCTGGGAATTCCATTGTTTCATTACCATTTGAGTGAAGAAAAGTTTCCTCATCTCATTCCTAAAAAAATCCGAAATCATTCCTGCTCTGTATCTGACACTCTGTCCCCTTGTTCTAGAGTCCCCAATCAGGGAAAAAATCTCCCTGCATCTGTCCAGCCCCATTGGAATTTTATACATTTCAATCAGATCGCTTCTTGTTCTTGTTATGGACCAGACCAAGCCCCCTCAAAATATATTAAGAAGATAGCCTAGACCTTAACTTTTTCTTATTTTAGAGGGAAGGCAAGCGTAAGGCTTTGCATTACGGATGCAAATTGATTGGTCAAACTACCAGATTTGAAGCAAAGCAGACTTTATTGAAACACTATAGGTAAAGTACAGCAAAAGAAAAATAAAAGAATTGGCTTAGCTGTAGCTCTGCTGAAATGTTTGACAAAAATAATAGATACAGTAACTATTACTAATTTAACTGTTCCAATATAGCAACATCACGTAAACACACCCTTGACAAAGGCAAATTCAAAAAAAACAGATTGTCTCATATACAACTCCAGAAGAGGAAGAGAACCCCAGCTTTTAGTTGTAACCGAGAGAGAGAGAAAAAACAATAGCTTCCACCTCTTCAAGACCCCAGCAGCAACTGCTACTGAAAAACTAAAAATTCCGGTTCTGTGAGACCTTGACCACACCCATTCAGGCTGCATCTATTGTTACAACTTTGATTAAAAAACCCAAGGCTTCACAAACTGTAAACTGTTGAGGCTCTGTGTAGACTGCTTTGTACCTCGGCCTTAAAACCTTTTTTCAAAGAAAAATACAAAATACACCTCTTAAAGCCATATCCTTCTTGAATACAGGCCCAGTTGAATTAATCTAGCCTCACAGGACAGTCCTACCATCCCACTATCAGCCTAGTTAGTCTCTGCTCACTCCCTCTTATGCCAACTATATCCTTCCTTAAATAGGGAGACCAAGACTGACCCCATACTCCAGGTGTGATTTCATCAATCCCCTGTGTAACTGCAGGAGGACATCCTTTGGAATTTCAGGAGAGCCCTATTTAAATCCCAGAAGGAGCCTGATATTCCTGGTTTTCTCAAAAGACAAATGGGAGCCTCTTTCAATATTTGATCGGATTTTGCAAATGTTCCTGGCCCTGGAAAATCAGGAATGAGTGTGGACAGGCAGATGTCAGATTGTACCACAGTTTTGATAATATTTGTGTTCCAACTGGAAATCTGGATTTCTTGTAATGATTTTTGCAGCTCCTTGCTCAGGCTTTTGAGGGAGGGGGATCAAAAATTTAGTGGGTTGCCAATGTCCACCTTCCGCTCATCTCTGACCTGTCCCCAGGAGACAGCCAGTCTGCCTGCCTTAGGCCCATTCAGGTCCTTAAGTAGGCAATTAGCAGCTACTGAAAGCCCTCATGCCACATCCTGTGTCATTTTTCAGTCTGTAGGGGAAGACAGAAGGACAGCTCAGCAGCTTTCACTGCACAGCATGCTGGTGAGGGAATGCCTCCTCCTGAGGGTCCTCACCCTGACCCCACTCCTCTCCAACCTGACACGCAGCAACCTCCTTTCACCCCCTGAGGTTAACCAGCCACATCCACCCAAACTACCTGGAACTCCGGTCCCCACCCTATCTTCTGGAGGACAGCCTGCAGGTCTAGCAGAATCAAAGAATCCTTGCAGTGCAGAAAGAGACCATTGAATCTGTTGTGCTTGTAGTGGCTCTTCAAATGAGCATCGTGTACTAGTGCTAACCCCCTGATTTATCCCCATACCTCTGACAACTGTTTCTGTCCAAACAATTGGCCAATGCCCTCTCGAATGCCACCGTTGAGCCAGTCTCCACCTAACTTCTGGGCACTGCGTTCCACACCCTAACTACTCACTAAGTGAAAAAGTTTCTTTCCTTGCATCACCCCTGATTCTTGTGCAAATCACTTTAAATCTAATCCCTATCGTTTCTTCTTTCTTTTACATTCTCCCCATCTACTCTATCCAGATCACTCATGATTTTGAAAATGACTATCAAATCTCCTCTCAGCTGCCTTCTCCCTAAGCAGGGCAGTCCCAACTTCCTCAATCTATCTGTATCACTAAAGTTTCTCATTCCTTTCCATAAATCGCTTCTGCATTCACATTTTTCCTGCAATGTAGCGTCTAAAATTGTATATAGTACTAACTTGTACAAGTTTAACAGCATCTGTTTGCTTTTGTACTCTATGTCCATATTAATAAAGCTGGGAAATATTCTATGCTTTATTAACTATACTCTCCACCTGCCCTGCAACCTTTAATGATCTGTGCACATATACATCGAGGCCCTTCTGCTCCTGCACCCTGTTTAGACTTATACCCCCTTTTTTTTATTATCATTCATTGTTCTCTCTACCAAAGTTCATGCCCCTCACTTCTCTGCGTTAAATCTTAACTGTCACCAATCCACCTGCTCCACTAATTTGTCAATTTCTTTTGGATTTCCACACTGTCCTCTTCATAGCTTACAATTATTCCAAATTCTTCATCATCTGCAGAATTGTTCCCTGCATACCAAGATCCAGGTCATTAATGTACATCAGGAAAGTCAAGGATCTCAATACTGACCCCTGGGCGACGAAATGTTCTACCTAACTGAAAAATGCCATTTACCGTTACTCTCTGTTGTCCATCATTAAGCCAATTTTATATCCACATTGCCACTGTCTCTTTTATGCCATACCTTTAACAAGTCTTTTGTGTGGCACTATATTAAACACCTTCTGTGTGACTACCAATTCCATCATTTTCTGTATAGAGTCATAGAGATATAAGCGAGGAAACAGACCTTTTGATCCAACTTGTCCATGCTGACCAGATATCCTATATAAATCAGGTCCCATTTGCCAGCATTTGGCCCATATCCCTCTAAAGCCTTCCTATTCATATACCCATCCAGATGCCTTTTAAATGTTGCAATGAAACATGCCAGCCTCCACCACTTCCTTTGGGAGCTCATTCCATGTATGCACCACCCTCTGCCACCCTGTGAAAAAGTTGTCCCTTAGGTCCCTTTTATATTTCTTGCCTTCTAGTTTTGGACTCCCTCACCCTGACGAAAAAACCTTGTCTATTTACCCCATCCATGCCCCTCATGATTTTATAAACCTCTATAAGGTTACCCCCTTAGCTTCCGACGCTCCAGGGTAAATAACCCCAGACTGTTCAGCATCTCCCTATAGCTCACATCTTTCAACCCTGGCAATATCCTTGTAATTCTTTTTTGAACGCTGTCAAGTTTCACAACATTCTTCCTATAGCAGGGACACCAGAATTGCACACAGTATTCCAAAAATGGCGTAACTAATTTCCTGTACAGTTGCAACATGACCTCCCAACTCCTATACTCAATGCACTGACCAATGAAGGTAAGCATACCAAATACCTTCTTCACTATCCTATCTACCTGCAATTCCACTTTCAAGGGACTATGAACCTGCACCCCAAGGTCTCTTTGTTCAGCAACACTCCCCAGGACCTTACCATTAAGTGAATAAGCCCTGCCCTGATTTGCTTTTCCAAATTGCAGCACCTCACATTTATCTAAATTAAACTCCATCTGCCATTCCTCAGCCCATTGGCCCATCTGATCAAGATCCCATTGTACTCTGAGGTAACCTTCTTCACCGTCCACTACACCTTCAATTTTGGTGTCATCTACAAACTTCCTAACCATACCTCCTATGTTCATATCCAAATCATTTATATAAAATGACAAAAAGCAGTAGATCCAGCACCGATCCTTGTGGTACACCGCTGGTCACAGGCCTCCAGTCTGAAAAACAATCCTCGACCACCACCCTCTGTCTTCTACCTTTGAGCCAGTTCTGTATCCAAATGGCTAGTACTCCCTGTATTAGTGTGATCTAACCTTGCTAATCAGCCTACCATGACGAACCTTGTCAAATGCCTTACTGAGATCCATATAGATCATATCCACCTCTCTGTCCTCATCAATCTTCTTTGTTACTTCTTCAAAAAACTCAATCAAGTTAGTGAGACATGATTTCCCTAATCAGTCCTTGCTTTTCCAAATACCTGCAAATCCTGTCACTCAGGGTTCCCTCCAACAACTTGCCCACCACCGATGTCAGGCTCACTGGTCTATAGTTCCCTGGCTTTTCCTTACCACCTTTCTTAAATAGTGCCACCATGTTGGCTAACCTCCAGTCTTCTGGCACCTCACCTGTGGCTATCAATGGTACAAATATCTCAGCAAAGGGCCCAGCAATCACTTCCCTAGCTTCCCACAGAGTTCTAGGGTACACCTGATCAGCTCCTGGGGATTTAACCACCTTTATGCGTTTTAAGACGTTCAGCACCTCCTCTTCCGTAATGTGAACATTTTTCAAAATGTGGCTATCTGTTTCCCAAAGTTCTCTATCTTCCATATTCCTTTAGTATCTCCTCTATCTCCTGTAGTTCCACACGTAGGTGGCCTTGCTGATCTTTAAGGGGCCCTATTCTCTCTCTAGTTAACCTTTTATCCTTAATGTATTTGCAGAATCCCTTTGGATTCTCCTTAACCCTATTTGCCAAAACTACTTCATGTCCCCTTTTTGCCCTCCTGATTTCCCTCTTAAGTATACTCCTACTGCCTTTATACTCTTCTAGAGATTCACTTGATCCATGCTGTCTATACTTCACATATGCTTCCTCCTTTTTCTTGATCAAAACCTGAATTTCTCTAGTCTTTCAGCATTCCCTACACCTATCAGCCTTGCCTTTCACCCTAACAGGAACAAACTGTCTCTGGACTCTTGTTATCTCATGTTTGAAGGCTTCCCATTTTCCAGCTGTCCTTTTACCTGCCAACATCTGCCCTCAATGAACTTTTGAAAGTTCTTGCCTAATGCCATAAAAATTGTCCTTCCTCCAATTTAGAACTTTAACTTTTAGATCCAGTCTATCCTTTTCCATCACTATTTTAAATAGAATTATGGTCACTAGCCCCAAAGTGCTCCCCCACTGACGCCTCAGTCACCTGCCCTGCCTTATTTCTCAAGAGTAGGTCACGTTTTGTACCTTCTCGAGTAGATACATCCACAAACTGAATCAGAAAATTTTCTTGTACACATTTAATAAATTCCTCTCCATCCAAGCCCTTAACACTATGGCAGTCCCAGTCTATGTTTGGAAAATTGAAATCCACTACCATTACTACCCTGTTATTGTTACAGATAACTGAGATCTCCTTACAAATTTGTTTCTAAATTTTCCGCTGACTAATGGCGGGGTCTATAGTACAATCCCAATAAGGTGATCATCTCTTTCCTATTTCTCAGTTCCACCCAAATAACTTCACTGGGCGTTTTCCCAGGAACATCCTCCCTAAATACAGCAGTAATGTTATCAAAAACACCACTTCCCCATCTCTCTTGTTCCCTTTTCTATCCTTCCTATAGTATCTATACCCTGGAACATTCAGCTGCCAGTCCTGTCTATCCCTGAGCCATGTCTCTGTAAAAGCTATAATATCCCAGTGCCATGTTCCCAACCATGCCCTGAGTTCATCTGCCTTACCTGTCAGGCCTCTTGTATTGAAATAAATGCAGTTTAATTTATCAGTTCTACCTCGTTCTCTGCTTTGTTCCTGCCCGCCCCTGCCCTGACTGTTTGACTTACTCCTTTTCCCAACAGTACCAGTCTCAGACTGATCTCTTTCCTCACACTCTACCTTGGTCCCATCCCCTTACTAGTTTAAATCTCCCTGCCAATATATTAGTCCCCTTCCAATTCAGGTACAATCTATCCTTCTTAAACAGGTCCCTTCTACCCCAGAAGAGATTCCAATGATCCAAACATGTGAATTCTTCTCTCCTGCATCAGCTGTTCAGTCACACATTCATCTGCTCTATCTTCCTATTCCTACCCTCACTATCTCGTGGAACCGGGAGTAATCCAGATATTAGTACCCTGGAGGACTTCCTTTTTAAATTCCTGCCTAACTTCCTATATTCTGTCCTCAGAATCTTGTCCTTATCTCTTGCTATGTCTTTAGTTCCAGTGCCTACAACAACCTCCTGCTGGTCGCTCTTTCCTTTGAGAATATACTGCACCTTCTCCGAGATATCCTTGACCCTGGTACCAGGGAGGCAACACACCATTCTGATGTCTTGTTGTCAGCTGCAGAAATATCTGTCTAAGCCTCTGACTAGACAGTCCCTTATCACAGTCGATCGCTTGGAACCTTGCGTACCCCTTATTATATTAGACCCAGTCTCGGTACCAGAAACCTGTCTATCAGTGCTACATTCCCCTGAGAGTCCATCACCCCCTACATTTTACAAAACAGCATACTTGCTTGAGATGGGGATAGCCACAGGAGACTCCTGCATTGCCTGCCTATCCCTCCTACCTTTCCTGGAGGTCACCCTGACTGTATCTGCAGTTTATCTCCCTCCCTGTAACTGCCATCCATCACACACCCTGGTTGCTGTAAATTCCTCATTTCCTCTAACTTCCACTCCATACAATCCATGCAATCTGATAGGATTTGCAACTAAACAGACTTCCTGCAGACACAATTGTCAGTAACATGGAAACTCTCCCTAATCTTCCACATCTGACAGGAAGAGCACATCACTCTACTAAAGGCCATCTTTGCACCTTAACAATCCATAGACCCATAAAAGCAATGCTCTAGCCTAACTTAGTACCTATGTTTCATATTTTTAAAGTTTAATTAAGAGACAGATCTCAATAAAACATATAATCAAAAAGAACTCACTGTACTCACTATTATAGATTTACGAAAAAAAACTAGCCACTTAGCTGCTGTCCTGCTCTGATCTCCCCACACAGGTTTCTCCAAGGTCAGCTGTGAATTTCGCTGTTTGTTTATTTTTCTTAGGTGAACTCCATGTCCAGAGGTACTTGAAATTAAACAGCAGAGGCGGTAGCTGTGAAGGTTCACTGCTGGGTCACACAGCAGTGTAAGTTTCTTTCTCCATTGATTCACTTCCCACCACGTGGTCACTGCCGTTGTCTCCCTTCGTCCTTTTTTAAAAGTGCCGCTGTTTTGATCTCTTTTCCCAAAGTTCCAAAACAATGCAACAGCTTATAAAACAGTAATTACTGCTCCTAGAATTTGAGGAAATCAGCTCCAACACTGAAAATGCCTTAAAAAAGGAGCAGCTCTTACAGCCTCAATTTTTCCTGTCCTCCATCTTGGATTGCCCAGACCCAAATAATTATTTCTACGACTTTCCTACCACCGAGAGTTACCAATTAACAATGGATATTTAGCTTGGGAGCAGGATCTGTCCCTTTTTTAAAATCAGCCCCTTGATTTCGAATCATTCTATTCCCAAACCCATTACTTTTGTGATAAGAGAGAAATCTTAATTTTTGCATTTCTTTTTCAGACCCTCAGTGGTATCCAGCGAGACAGTCCATCAGATTAGACCCCAGTAAGTATGGTTTTGGTCTGTACAAACTTAAGTAAGTTTTTTTTTACAAGATTTGCAATGTTAAATTAGAAATGGATAATGAACTAACAAAAAGGCACGTAAACAGAAGCATTAATAAGAGTTATTTACTCTAAACAAAGTGACATGCTGACCCTTTGAACAGAAACATCATAAATTCAAATTAAATTTCAAAAAACCAAATCTCCTCAACACTTTTCCTTTATTTTTGCCCATCATTTGGGCTGTTCAAGTAAATTACACAGAATGTTTGTTTGTTTTTTCACAGTGCCTTGACTGATTTCATATAAACTTGAGGCAAGAGAACGACAGACCTGCATTCATATAACAACCTCCATTTCCCCAGGACATAGAGTCATTGAGATGTACACCCTTTGGCATGTCAGGAACTGTACATCCAATTCAGGTTCTTTTGCTTTGGGTGCCCAAAGCATCTGTGACAACCAATTTGCAAACAGCGAGGTCCCACAGGCAGCTAATGACTGGAGATTCATGAGGAGGGAGTGTTAATATCCATATTCTTTTACAACAAAACTCTCCAAAGGAGATTCGTTTCACGGGACTCAGGAAAGGCTTGGAATGAGAGATCACATTGAAGGGATATATGCACAGAGTCAGTGAACCTTTCACATCACTATGCATTGGTCTAAGACTAGAACTGTTACTTGTGTTCTCCAGCTATTCACTCCTTTCAAGTTTAGTAGAATGTTCAATGGTAACATTCAAAAGGGAATAGAATATCTGGCTGAAAAAGGGGAAGGAGATATCACGGCTATGGGGAAAGTGCAGGAAAGTGGGACTTTTTTTACAAAGTGCTGATAGAAGCACAATGGACTGGATGGTCTGTTTCTGCACTGTGTAATTGTACATACATCACCCTTAATAGTACTGACTGGAGGAGACTTTGGCTTCTGTTCCATCTCTAAATGGGTTAATTTAGTTGATATACAAACATAAAACATACAAACATTATCAAGAGCAGCTGTAGGTTATTTAGCATCTCAAGACCGCTCGTCCATTGAATAAGATCAGGGCTGTTCTGATTGTAACTTCAAATCCACATTAGTATGGTTCTAAATGTACAATCCCCTGATTTTTAAACAGTGACCCCTAGTTCTAGATTTTTCCATACGAGAAAACATCCTTTTATACATCTACTCTATCAAGACCTTTAGGGCAGCATGGTGGCTCTGTGGTTAGCACTACTACCTCACAGTCCTAGGGACCCAGGTTCAATCCCAGCCTTGGGTGACTGTCTGTGTGGAGTTTGCACATTCTTCCCGTGTCTGCGTGGGGCTTCCCTGGGTTTCTTCCCACAGTCCAAAGATGTACAGGTTAGGTGGATTAGCTATGCTAAAGTGCCCAGGGATGTTTAGGGTAGGTGGGTTAGACATGGGGAAATCAGGGGTAGGGGAATAGGCCTGGGTGGGATGCTCTTCAGAGGGGTGGTGTGGACTTGTTGGGCCAAATGGCCTGTTTCCACACTGTAGGGATTCTATGATTGAAGACCTTTGAGGATTTTTTACATTTCCAACAAGTTTCCTCTTACTTTTGTAAACATCAATGGATATCAGCCTAGCCTGTCTAATCTTTCCATATAAGACAATCTATCTATTCTAGCTCTTAGTTTAGTAAAGAATAACCAAAATTGCTGGAGAAACTCGGCAGGTCTGGCAGCATCTTTCGAGAGAGAAATAGTTCATGTTGCAGGTCCAGTGACCCTTTTTCAGAATCTTTTTCTTTTTTTTTAATATTAGTTTAGTAAACATTCCCTGAACTGCCTGCAATGTATTTATATCTTTCCTTAAGTAAACTGACCAATCCTGTACACAATACCCTGGCTGTGTTCTCGCAAGTGCCGTGTGTATAATTGAAACATGACCTCGCTTACTTTTGTTTCAATTCCCCTCCCCTCCCAGTAAATAATAACAATACTGTATATGATACAATACAGTACAGCTCAGGAACAGGCCCTTTGGCCCACCAAGCCTGCACTGATTCCTAGTCCTTATTTAGACCCGCTTCTTATTGCCCATACGTGGTTTCTGTCCCTCTGTTTGCCTCCCATTCATGTGTCCAACAGTCTATGAGCTTTCCTAATTATTTGCAGTACCTTCACACTAACCTTTTACATTGTTATTAGTATTTTATATGGGAACTTAAGAAATGGAAGCAGGAAGTAGGCCATTCTGCCCCGAGTATGCTCCGTCTATCATTAATATCGTGGCTGATCTGATTGTGGCCCTAACCCTACTTTCCTGCCTAACCCCCAATAGCTCGTGACTCCCCCCATAGATCAAAAATCGATCGATCTGTTTCTTGCACGGCCAGCTTCAGTGGGGTGCAGAATTGTAAAGATTAATGACCCTCTGATTGAGACCCTCCACGTTTGAATTGTTGCAGTTACAGACACAACTTGAACAATGGGATCTTTACGCAACTCATCTCTTGCATTAATGATTAAATTTTCTTTTAAAAATTCACAGAGCGTGAAGGGATTGAATGCAGCCCTCTACTGACTCACAAATACCGCATACTGTTTATCTACCTTAATAGTCCTGAAATTTCTGGAATGCTTCCTGCTGAAAGATTCCACTGGCAGGGGCATGTGAGGTGCCTGGTGAATGTGACACTGAGGTTCTGGTCACTGTCCTGAAATGAATACGGATTCAGTTGCACCACAATTGGCCACCTACTTTGATCAAACTGTGTGCATCACAGATACCACAGCAGTGAAGTACTAGCCCCGCAAACTCTGCAGGGCTCAGGCAGGAACCTGCAGATTACTGGGGATCCTCATGCCCTTTCCTGGAAGAGCATGTTTAAATGCCTGTTTATGTGCACGTCTTAACAGAGAACAGTAAAATACAGCACAGGCCCTTCGGCCCACGATGTTGTGAGTGCCAGCAGCATATTTGGCTAAAGGAACGTCATAGTTGTCCTCACGTATACTTAGTGTTATATGTGTATAACATATACATGTGTGCATAAATATAAATGTACTTCTGTTATGCTTCCACAGGGAGGCATTGGCCTAGTGGTTTTAACGCTAGACTATTAATTCAGGAACTCAGGTAATGTTCTGGGGACTTGGGTTCAAATCCCAGGTGGTGAAGTTGAATTCAGTAAAAATTCTGGAATTAAGAGTCTAATGATGACTGTGAAGCTATTGTTGATTGTTAGGAAAAACTCATCTGGTTCACTAATGTCCTCAGGAAAGGAAACTGATGTCCTTACCTGGTCTGGCCTTCATGTGATTCCAGGCCCACAGCAATGTGGTTGACTCTCAAGTGCCCTCTGGGTAATTAGGAATGGGCAATAAATGCTGGCCTGGTCAGTGACACCCATATGGCCATGAGTGAATATAAAAAAAATTTGCTCCTCATGACTCAGGGACTCTGATCCCAATTGTAACGTTCTGACAACAGGGACACAGGTCAGGAATTGGAGCCTGTGTTGTCCTTGTTCTGAATGGCTGAGTGGGACACAGAGACATCAGGATGACAGAGTGAGCTTGGTTGGTTGTTGTTGCCCCATATTGTTTTGGAAAGGAACCATCTGGTTCGAGAGCAGCCGAGGAGGAATCTCAGCTCATTGAGGGCAGACCAAATCTCTGAAAGAAATGTAGAATGTAAGAATCGTATCTATCTTGTGCGTTTTTCACACTGACTCAAAGTGCTTTGCAGCCAATGATTTATTTCTAGTCCTTTAGCAATGTAGGAAAGGCAGCTGGTATTGTGGACAGCATGATCCCACAAATGGGAAGATAGTGATGATCAGATAAATTGTCTGATGTTTGTGGAGAGATAAATATTGACTGGAACAATGGAGAGAGTGAGATTTTTATATCCACCACATCAGGGACACAGAACCACAGTTTAATTTTTCATCAGGATAAAGAACACTTGTGACAGTGTAGCACTCACTCGATACCAAACTGGATTATACACTTGGCCACACAAGTAGATATGGTGATAAAGAAGGCAAATGATATGCTTGCCTTTATTGGTCGGGAAATTGCGTACAGGAGTCAGGATGCAATGTTGCAGCTTTCTAAGACTTTGGTTAGACCACAATTCTGGTCACCACATTAAAGGAAGGATGTGGAGGCTTTGGATAGGGTGCAGAAGAGATTTACCAGGATGCTGCCTGGATTAGAGGGTAGGAGCTATAAGGAGAGGCTAGAAAAACTCGGTTGTTTTCCTTTGAGTAGCAGAGGCTGAGAGGAGACTTAATAGAAGTTTATAAAATTTATAAGCTGCATTGATAAGGTTCACGGTCAGAATCGTTTTCCCAGAGTTAAAATGTCCAATACTAGGGGGCAGGATTTTTATGCAGAGAGTGGTAGGAGCCTCGAATGTACAGCCATGGGTGATGGTGGAGGCAGATATGACAGGGGCATTTAAGGGACTTTTAGATAAGCACACGAATATACAAGGAGTGGAGGGATATCGACCAAGGACAGGCAGAAGGGATTATTTTCATTTGGTGTCGTTTTTGGCACAACGTCGTGGGCTGAGGAGCCCATTCCTGTGCTGTACAGTTCTACGTCCTATGTTCTATTAGGCCTCCGAGCAGCTTATGTGATTATACCTTTAAGATAATGTCATCACCATATCATGACCTGATCTAACGGTGTGGAACTCTCTGTCTCCATCTTACTGAGTCCATTTGTAGCATGACACATTGAAGGAAATATACTACGTACAGTACATCTGGATTGCTTAGCTTCAGCTCAGACCCACTCATGCCTGCGATGATAGTGTCCATATATACAGATACCACGAATATAAGCATTCATTGAATTCTGCAGTATTAACATGACCCACATCTTATTCACAAATCTTAATAGGTAACATAGGTCTTTCAACATATTATTTGAAGATCATCAGCCATCACATCAATACAGAAGTACTTGGGCTTGAAACTACAGCTTTCTGACTGAGAGGCAAGGATGCCCATATCTGAGCCTTTGCTGACACAATATACATTTAATACCACATTCTTCTGGCTCATTTCCAAATGCTTTTTTGTTGTTTTCATTCTTTTTTTTTCAAATATTTATTCACTAGCCACTTAAAAGTCTCTCTGCCTATATCACACTCTTTGCTTGGACTTCTTGTACTGTGCTAACCTTCAGAAGAAATGTGGGTGCCTCACAAAATCTGGGTCAGCTGGCTTCGAGAGTGGTTGAATGGGTTAACACCAGACACCATTGTGTGGTGTAGCCCAGAAACCACAGGGTTTATCACTCACCTGAACTGGGTTTCTGTGTCTTGGCTGAGTAAGGCTTAGGAAGGAAGAACGTTTGAAGGCTTTGGTCAGACATGTTGGGTGGCCCATTTCCTATAGAGTGTCACGGGTGGTCCAACAGAGAAATGCACTCCTTTTTAAATCAGAATTTCTTTCCTTCCCCATGAATGCGTTTTTGTCATGTTGCTGATGTGTGAAGATTAAACGTTACCTTGGGAGTGCAGCCTTGGCATGTTGCAGTGTTCTGACAAGCTGGATTGGGGCCTAATGGCTACTTTATGTATGAGCTTTTACAGTGAGTGCTGGCAGCCAAACCCACCATGAGGAGGAAACTGATCCTGTCTTTGACCAAAGTCCAAATGCACAGCTCCTGATGAATTGTGAGCCTAAGTGGGAATGATAGGCCTTTCCTTAACCTGAGCATTGAGATTGGTGAACTTTTTACAGACCAGAGCTATCCCCCGGCCCCTGTGACCCTGTTCCTCAGGGGATAAACTTAGGGTGGAGCTCAAATACATTTTAAATTTCTTTACTAATCAGTGGTCCCAAGCGTACATTAAATTTAACCCCCCTGTACTGCCTAATAGTGTCACAGAGTCATACAGCACAGAAACAGACCCTTCAGTCCAACCAGAACATTGCCAACCATGTTCCCAAACTAAATGTAGCACAAATATCAGCTCAGTCAGTATTAATTTGATGTTCAAACAAAGCAGGACCAGCACAGTGAAGTGAGTTTGAACACTCTGTTTCCCCTACACTGTAGAACATGGGCTCACATCCAGCCAGGTTGGTGCAGGTAAGCATTCAGAATGGTTTCAGGTTGAGGATTTATCCCCACACAAAGACTGAACAACTCTTCCTGATATCATTTCATTCCCCAGAGGGAAAGTGTGTACGCGATGAAGAAATTCTACAGACGCTCCCTGTAGGCACTACTGCTACCTTCTACTTCAAAGATTTGGGCCCACAAGTAGGATGGACCACAGTGAGTATTCCTATGGGTTGATGTGACAGGCGTGGGGTGGGAGGGGGTAGGGAGCAGGCGAATGGGGAAGGTAGTGATATAAGGGAGTGGGGATGGGAGAGACCGACGGAGGCAGGCAGGAGCAGCGACAGGAAGCACACAATGCCGCAGATGAACAACTGGCTCAAATCAACAAGTTGAGTGGCAGGGGTAGACAGTGCGTGATAAGAAAGGAAGTCTTGCTAAAACTACACAGGGCAGTAGTCAGACCACAGCAGGAATACAGTTTTGGGCCCCTTAATCTCAGGAAAGATATCCTGGCATTGGAGTCAGTCTCGAGAAGGTTCACAGAGCTAAAACAAGGTATAGAGGGATTGTCTTTTGGGAAGAGTGTGAATAGATTGGACCTGTAGTTGGTGAATTTGGAAGAATGGGAGGCAAATTACTGAAACATATAGGATTTTTCTGGGCTTGTCAGGATGGAGAGGTTGTTTGTGACAGAGACCAGGACCAGAGCGCATAATCTCGGAATGGGGGGTCACATATTTAAGACGGAGATGGGGAGGTATTTCTTCTCTCAGAGGGTAATGAATCTATGGAATGCATTACAGCACTGCGCTGTCAAGGCTGGGTTATTAAGTATTTTCAGGGCTGAGATGGACAGAATTTGATGCAGTAAGATAATCAAGGGTAATAGGGAAAAGGCAGGAAAGTGGTTTTGAGGATGATCAGATCATCCACGATATTAGTGGAGCAGACTCAATGGGCTGAATGGCCTGTGATCATCTTATAAGCTTCTGTTTCTAACCAACAGGGACTAGAGCAGTATCTTTCCCCACTGACAAGAATCATGGATTTGGGCAAACTGCCAGAAAAATAAAAAAAAATCTTTGGCTTAAGATCCAGACTTGAAAAGGTGGTGCAAGATGGTTCTATAAACCATTTTAAAAAGGCTGTGTGCATGGGCAATGCCATCACTAGGTGGATCATCGCAGCCCTGAGTGTGAAAGGGGAGAGACTGAGGAGACAGTGGAAATGTCACGAGGCTAATAATCCCTCCCATCGACCAACTAGGTCGTACCTACCACCAGTGTCCACCTATCTCCACCATTCTACCTCCACCCTTCCCCCCACTTTTATCTGCAACTTCCCCCTACCCCCACATTCAGTCCTGGAGAAGGGTTATACCCGAAACGTTGACTGCTCCTTTCTTCCAGATGCTGCCTGGCCTGCTGTTTTCTTCCAACCTCCTGTTTGTCTACCTAATAATCCTGAACCTCAGGCTAACGTTCTGAGAACAAATGTTTGAATTCCAGCGTGGAAGATAAATTTAAATTTAAATTTGAAATCAATAATAAGCTAGTCTAATGATGACTGTTAGACTAACTTATTATTGAGTTATTATTGAACAACAATTGTTCATTAATAGGGAAGGACATTTGTCCTTACCTGGTCTGAACTATATGTGACTCTGGACCTATAGCAACGTGGTTAACTCTGAACTGCGCTCTAGGCAATCAGGGATGGGCAATAAATGCTGGCCCAGCACACATCTTGTAAATGCAAAGGTTGCACCTGGTTGAGTCTGGCAAAAATGGCCATGTTGAAATACATTCCAATCGGGGAAACAATCTTTTTTATATTAACTTTTAAACCGGTTGTGATATCCAGGAAAATACAGCAACAATTGTACAATTCTTTGCAATTGGTGCTCCTGGTGACTGTTAACTAGCCTGGTCTCTATACAAGTGCAGTGCCTGACAATTAATTTGAACTGCCCTTTAAGCAATTAGGGATGGACAATGAATGCTGATCCAGCCAGCAATACCCGTGTCCTATGAATGAGTTAAAAAAAAGCCCTCTATTCATTGAAACGATTGAAATTCCAGCAAAAAAAATCTACAGACTGATTATAATGGCTGCTATGCTTTCCTGCCTTATATGAGTTTAACATTTAGTGCCGGACTAGTGTGATGTGACTGGGACAAAGCAGGTGGATCGTAGCAGCCATTTTGTTAGAACCGACACTCTCTTGTGGAGGAGGGAGTCGGATAAGTCCCAGAGAATGATGGACCTGCAAAATTATGAACAGAAAGGGGGGCAGGAAGAGGGGAGGGGAAAAGATACGGAAAAGGACTGAATTACAGAAGAAGATAGGAGGTGGCGTGAAGGGAGAAAGGGGAGAGAAAGAGGAAGTGGTGAACAGGGGAAGAAAAGGGTGCAAAGTAGGGAGAGATGAAGGGGTAAAGGGAGTAAGGGAAGGGCGAATAGTGGGCTGGGAAAGCTTCCTGTCATGAGAATTCTCAGTGTCACAGTAGCAGGAATAATGGGATTATTTTTTTTTTATAAGTCTTGTTATTGGGGCTGAAGTGTACTACTTGAGTGTGATATAGCTCTGAATTAAAGTAATGCTGCATCATATAAAATGCTATTAAAGTAATAATCTTGAATGCAAATGTGGGGCAAGCCAGAAAACTGGGAAAATGGCTGAAAATAAATGTTGGGGATGAAACGCACTGGTGAGTGAAATGACAAAAGTTTACATTTACATATTACAGTCTAAATATTAGGAGTTAAGTATTTTTTAATGCTAACAATTATGAAAGAATCTAATATGGTAGAGAGTGAGAGCTGCGAAGAGCAATATTGTGGTCTGGACTGCCACCCAGTGGCCGGAGTTGACAATGATGAGCAAACCCCCGATTGTTCCTAAAATACTTCCTTTGTTCCCAGAGTGTTCCACTAGACCACACTCGGAGTACAACGTTCAGTTCTGGTCATTGCACCTTGAGAAAGATATATTGACCTTGGAGGGAGTACTGTGCAGATTTCCAAGTATCTGGACTCCATGGGTCAGATAGAATGATTACACAAACTTTTCTTCACTTCCCCTGATGAAGGAGCAGTGCTGTGAAAGCTTGTGATTTCAAATAAATCTGTTGGATTATAACCTGTGTCATGTTGACTTCTGACTTTGTTCATCCCAGATCAACACCGGCACTTCTACATCATACACAAATTACGATAGCATACCCTAGAGTTTAGAATATTACAGAGTAGTTTGATTAACCTTTTTAATACTAAACAGCATAACTGATGCAATAAATAGAGAGAAAAGATTTTTGGTCACTCGGGAGCCGAGGACTAAATGACATGATCTGAACATTATAATTTTCTGATTGGGAAACAGGTCTGTCTCTCTCTCTCTCACACACACAAATACACACACAAATAGTGGTGGAATTCTCTTACTCAAATGTTAGCTTTTGGGTTGATTGTCAATATCAAATCCTTGGGGATCAAGCATGTTAGGGAATATGGATAAGGGACAAGGAAGGCTGGAATTTCAACCTTGAGCTGAACAGTGGGAGGTAGGAAAACTCCTAGCTTCATATGCTCACTGTTGGAAAAAGTGACTCAGGAAACATGATATTCTTTCTGGTGTGGGGTGAAGAGAGCCAGCAGTAGACCATCTGACCCTGGAAAGAATTCAGGGAAGCTGGGTGTTAAGGCAGGCCTGTCTTGATGCCCAGGTTTAATAAAAGTGGATAGGCCCTGTAGGTCTCAGCTCTCAAATCTCCTCACCCAGCCCCACGCTGCCCATGACTCATCCATGCCAACTCATCCAAATCATGACCCCCAGCCACCCCCATGACCCCAGGTCAACCTCTGCTTCTCCAGCAGTCCCCAGTAGCCCATTATAGCCCCTATATAAGTTCAGTGCCAATGCATATTCTTCCAACTTTGCTCATACTCCTCTGTGCCAACTGAACACTTTGGGGAGACCTCAGGAGCCATGCTAGGAAATATAATGTGGGTGTCACTGGCCAGACCAACGTTAATTGCACATCCTAATTACCCACGAGAAAGTGACAGTGAGATGTCTTTTTGAACCACTGCAGCCCATGGGAAACCCACTATGTTGTTAAGGAGGGAGTTCCCAGATTTTGACCCAGTGACTCGAGTATATGAAATACTTGAAGGCATGGGGCAAAGATTACAGTGTTTGTTTCTATAAGGGGTTAAGTACTTGAAGACTTTTCAAACATCATATTAATGTTTAATTCCTTCAAGTACTAAATACAAATAAGGCCAAAGACAGCTAGAAACGTAGGTGCCATAGAGATCCTCACTATGATCTTGACAAGTCCCAGAAGCAGTCAAGATCCATTAATTTTGAAAAGCTGTGAGCCTGAGGACTATCAACATTCAGCTCAAGAAATTGCATGTGCAGATTTTTGTGTTTGAAGGATAGACCCAAAATTTTCTTTCAAAACATAAAGTACACGAGATTTACCCAGAGAGTGGTGATGGTCTAGAATGCGCTGCCTGGGAGAGTGGTAGAGGCAAATTGCCTCACATACTTTTAAAAATTACCTGGATAAGGCACTAGGCATGTCCATAACATTCAAGGCTATGGGCCATGTGCTGGTAAATGGGATTAGCTTGAAGGTCAGACGTTTTTCAAATGTCAGCACACACTCAATAGGCTGAAACGCCTCTTCTGCGCTGTATGATTCCATGATTTAAATAGTTTGATGATTCAGTGTTACCTGCTCCAGCTTTCATGAGCATTTATGTTTCCACTGCAAAGTTAGAGAACACACACTGCTGGCGAAGGCTATTCCTGGAGTAAGAATCAGATCTACCTCATAGAATCACAGGAATGTTACATTCGGCTCATCGTGTCTGTCTCCAAATGAGCATTATTACCTAGTGTCATTCTGTTGCTTTTTGGCCATACCCTCACATGTTGTATCTATTTAAATAATTATCCAGTACCCTCTTGAATTCCTCAACTGAATCAGCCTCCACTTCCAGACAATGCATTCCAGCTCCAAACCACTCAATGTGTGAAAAGAGTTTTTTCTCACTTTGGATTTCCTACTTGGCAAATCACTTTAATTCTATGCCCTCTTGTTCTTGATCCTTGTACAAATGGAAACAGTTCCTCCCTACCAAATCTATCCAGTTCCTCATGATTTTGAAAACTTCTATCAGAGCTCATCTTGGTCTACGTCTGTCCAAAGAAAACAGTCTAAACTCTTCAATCTATCCTCGCCACTGAGGTTTATCATCCCTCAAACCATTTTGTAAAACCTCTTTTACATTCTTTCCAATACACTCCCGTCCTTCCCATAAAGTGACTCCAGAACTGTACACAGTACTCCAGCTGAGGTCTAACAAGTGTCTTATACAAGGCATTATCTCCTTGTTCTTGTACATTAATATTAATAAAGCCCAAGATACTGTATGCTTTATTAACGGCTCTGTCTACCTGTCCGACCACCTTCAATAATCTGTGCACACGTACGCCAGGACCCTCTGCCCCTGCAACCCCTTCAGAACTATACATCTTATTTTCTACTCACTGCCCATATTCTTTCTACCAGAATACATCACTCCACACTTCTCTATATTGAACTTCGTCTGCCACCATCCCACCTACTGTACCAACTAGTCCACACCTTTTTTGAAGTTCCACACTGTGTCGTCACTTATTCTGTGCTCTGAGCTTATAAATGGCCCACCTAAGGGACAGGTTTCCTTCATTTTTGCTTTGCGCCCCATCTCCGAAATGGAAACTGCCAGAAAAGGGTTGGGACTTCCAGTTCCAAGTTCTGCCTGCTGTTTGTAAAGGTGCTCAGAGTCTCACCAACTCCAGATATATCCAGCTCTAAGTCACCGATTAGCCACGATGCATTGAATGACAGGACAGAGGCAAGTGCTGAACAGGCACCTGGGAAGGAAGAAGTAGGGAACCGGGGATCCTGAAATGTGGAGGGAGGTGGGGAATGGGACCAGGATTGCGAATGTATTGGGGGTAAGTGGGAGGAGCAGGAAATGAACCCAGTGTTTGGGGGAGATGGTTTGAGAGAGGTGTATAGAGTTTGTTGAGAATATTGAGAGCTCGGAGACACCCAGACTCTAATCAGTATCCAATGAAATGAGGGGTCCCTCAGTTTGGGAGGATTCTGACTTGACTCAGTCTCTGATCCTTGGTCTGTGAGAGGAAGATTCATCACCGAGAAGGATGGCAGTAGCTGAGGTGCAGATGTTCAGTAAAGGTTACAGTGACAGGCTGCAATCCATGTTGACTGGATTATCCAAAGTCTTTCTCACACGTATTTATTTCTGTCCTTCATTATGGCCTAACCCAGGGCACTGCCTCAGTGCTATCTAACCAAGATCTTAAAACACAGAAGCAGAAGTAGGCCATTCAGCCCATCAAGTCTGCTCTGTAGAGGAAGGGGGATAATATTCTCTGAGATTAGACTCCTGATGTTTAGCGTGGTTAGGATTGGCTGCTCTATTGCCAACAGGTTGGATAACGCCCTCAAACTGGTTTCTTTCTTTTTCAAGAATAGCACAAGGCAAGTATCAGAGGATTAAAAAAGTGCATCTACTTTGTGTTTAATTTGATGGTCATGTTAAGCTGCCACATGTAAGTGCTTGTGCGTTGATCTTTGACTGTAGGTGTTCCTGACAGAGTATGCAGGTCCACTCTTTATCTACCTGCTCTTCTATTCTCGCCTGCCTTTTATTTACGAAGAAGAGGACGAATTTACCACTAGCCCGCACACTGTGGTGCAGTAAGTAAGCACGCATTCGATGCTTGGTGGTAACTTAATTCTGGCATAGTGGAGGTTGAAATCTGAGTTTGTCTTTGGCTTTAATAGAGGATGCATGCTGACCTTGCACCACCACTGGTGACGGTGCCTTCAGTTGCTTAGGCCCCTAAGCTCTAGAATTCCCTCCCTAAACTTCTCCGTCACTCTTTCCATCCTGAAGACATTCCTGAAAATAAATGTCTTTGCCTGAGTTTTTGTCTTTAATCTACCTCTTTCTGGTTCAATGTCTATTGTTGTCTGATGATGCTCCTGCAAAGTGTTTTGGGATGTTTTACCACAGGTAAAAAGCAATGTCATTGCAAGTTCTTATGTGGTATGGAGTGATACATGCTCCAGCTGTTGTCATTCAGGACTGAATGTGGTAGCTTGAGACCCAGACCATATACTGAGCTCATAATCTAAACTGGCATTCCAGTAACAATACCCAGAGAGCGCCCCTTTGCATAAGGTGCTAACCTTCAGATGCACTGGTAAACTGCAATCCTCTCTATTTGTTCTGCTGCTTCAGGACTTTAAAGATCCCGGGGTAGTTTCAAAGAACAGTACATTCTCCCCATGTCCTAGGCAACACCATCACCTTTAATCAACTCCACAAAAACAGTAACTCTTTGCACTCCACCTGTGAAAATGATTTAATTGTAAATTAAAGGGGTAATTGTGTAAATTTGTTCCTGAAACGTTGGCATCACTGGTTAGGCCAGCATTATTGCCCATCCCTAAATGACCAAACTGCCTCCTGGGAGCAGATTGGTTGCCTGGCAGTGCAGGTTTTTTTAAAATGTTAACAACCCTCGCCCAAAACCCACCATGTTTTTGGGGAGTTAAAATTTCCCCGTAGTTTATTTTGTCAGAGCCGGTAAAAGGTCAGCTCTTTTGTGAACTGGCAAGGGAGCTTCTCGTACACCTGTTCGGAGGAACCAACTGTGACTGTGGGATTTTTCTGTCAGCTGCTGTTCAGCTTTTCTGTTTTATCTTTTCTCCAGCTTGGCAGGATTTTGCCACTCTTTCCATTATGTCAAAAGGCTGATAGAAACACTGTTTGTGCATCGTTTTTCTCATGGTACAATGCCTCTTCGTAACACTGTTAAGGTAAGTGCCTCCAGCTGTTGTCCTGCACTGACCTGTTATCACAATGCAAACTCAGAGCATTGTTCTGTGAATCTATTTTTTCTTCTGTTATAGGTTTATTTCTTGGGGCTGAAGGAATCAAAGGGTATGGGAAGAAAGCGGTAGCAGGGTACTGAGTTGGATGATCAGCACAATTTGTATTGAAGGCAGAACAGGCTTGATGGGCTGAATGGCCTATTCCTGCTCCTATTTTCTGTGGTGTACGTGCATTTAGAAATCTACATACCTAAATTGAATTGGATGGGAATAATATTTTAAAGAATTAGAGTAGTGTGCATAAATACATTTGATTTAAAGGATACAAGATGTGAATTCTGTTTGCATGCAGGCTGACCACCAAGTAAGTTTGAACTTTGGTAATGGCAGTCAGCATTAGGAATGCAGGATGTACACAACAATCTCTGAGAACCTGGTCAGTTCTGTATCCCACCTTGTGACATGGAGGCATGTCAGAATCAGGAAAGAATCCCACCCACTGAGAGACAGAATCTGTTCCTCTGGGGCTGGATCTGTCACTGGAACTGCAGTTGACCCAGGTTCTCAGAGACTGTTGTGTGTGTCCTATCCTCCTAATGTTGACTGCCATTACCAAAGTTCAAACTTACTTGGTGACCAGCCTACCTGCGCTTTGTTGTTGGGCCCCTGGCAGCGAGCTATCGGACCCTCCCAGCACCTCCAATGTCTATAAATATATCTCTTGTATTAGTAAGAAATGCCTTGGGTTAGTTTGTTCTGCATATGTAAAGACTGTCCAGCATCGAACTGCTCTAGTGACTATGTATAGAAAGATTTGTAAGAATAAAGTATGTTGTTGAAATTTAAAAAAAAAGCAAGCTAACCTCCCCCTGATGAAGCTGGAGAGTGGAATGGGCTGACTCAGGATTCCCAGCTGGCATTGGGAATCAATTAGAATCATTAATAGTGCCCACTATCCCAGAGCCCATCACAATTTTAGTGGTGGCCTAGGGATAACTGGAGGCTGAAAGGCCATCCAGCTAAACTGGTTGGGTTTGCCAGTGGTCTCCGGGATGCATCCCTCACGCACAGGCACTCCAAACCAAATTGAGGGACCTAGCATCAGGCAGGGGTCTGGCTGCTGGCACCTCTTCCCCCCACCCCCCATCCCTTTCTCCCACAATCTTTAACCATCCCACCTTCAGTCACTTGTGTCCTGGGGTCCCTATGTGATCCAGGGCTTTGAAAGAATGCAGTTCCTCTAGCTGCCACCATCCCCACTTGTGGCAGCACTGAGCTGCTGGCCTCTGATTGGACAACAGCTCTCAGCAGGTGAGCCCTCTATGACTGGGAGTCTCAATGGCGGAGAAGACTGAATGTTGGCTGAAATAACTCTACAAAGGCTGGTATCCAGTCACCAAGTCACCCTTTATTTACATGTACCGTATGTGACACTGACCCAGCTTGCTCAGAACAACTCCTAGAATGAGCAGAACCTCTGACACCCTTGTTTATATCTGTCAGCCGAGGCTCCCTGATTGGACCAGGTTAACAGCCCCAATCAGGGAACTCATATTCTGGGATCCATCTGGCTGACATTGTTTCAATCACTATAATAGCTATTTTTGTGCTTGAAACACACTCTACTCTTTTAAACTGAAAGTAAAACTCCCTCTAGTCCTTTTTAAACTGAAAATAAAGCTCTCTCCAAACTGTCCTTATTAAATTCTCCCAGGACAGTTATAGGACAGGGTTAAATACTTAGAAAGTTCCTTCTATTCATTTAAACTAAAAGAAAACTTGAATTGCGGAGGCTGAGGGGCAACTTGATAGATGTTTACAAAATTCAGAGGCATAGATAGAATGGATAGTCAGAGTCTTTCTCCCAGTGTAGAAATGTCAATTACTAGGGGCATTGATTTTAGGTAAAAGGGGATAAGTTTAAAGGAGATGTCAAAGGCAAGTTTTTTTGCACAGAGGGTGGTTAAGTGCTTGGATTGTGCTGTCAGAGGAGCTGGCAGAAGTGGATACAATAGCAACATTTAAGAGGCATCTTGACAGATACCTGAACACGTAGGGAATAGAGGGATCTGGACCTTGTAGAAGCAAAAGGTCTTTAGTTTAGAAAGGCTTCATGTGTTGGTACAGGCTTGGTGGGCCGAAGGGCCTGTTCCTGTGCTGTACTGTTCTTCTTTTTAAAGCTGCCTGTACACTGCTCCCATCAAACACACTCAGGACAGTTACAGCCTGGGGATAGGAATAGAGTACAGTTTCCTTTAATCTTTTAAAATTAAATTAAAGCTCCCTCAACACTGTCTCCATCAAACAGTCAGAGGACAGGGACAGCACGGGATTAGAAAAAGAATAAAACTTCCTCTACTCCTTTTAAACCAAGTACAAAGCTCCCTAAACAGCTTTGATTGTGGCTGAAGCACATTCTGTGATGTAGTAAAACACAATTTACCAATCCCTTTCCTTTCTTAAAAAGACTTGAACCTTTAACTCTGCTTTCTCTCCACAGGTGCTGCCAGACCTGCTGAGTTTCTCTAGCACGTTCGTTTTTACTTCAGATTTCCAGCATCCACAGTATTTTGCTTTTATAACAATCCCAGTCTTCACTCAGTGAATGAAATTGAAACCGGGCTTTTTGAGATGGTTAAGATGATTAAAGGAATTGATTTGCTATATAAAGAGAAGTATTTACCCTGTTGGTGGAATCATCACAGGGTGTGGGAGTCGGGGGGAGCATCGTCATAAAATTAAAAGCCAGACTATTGAGAGGTGAGGTCAACAAAATCCTCCTCACACAATTGGTATTGAAAATCTGAAATAATCACCCTCCCAGAAGTGTGGAGGCTGGAGGGTGGGGTGTGGGGCGGGGGCGCGGGGCAGGAGTTGGTGCTGCAGTCAAGTGAAAAATGTCAAAACTGTTATTGATGGAATTTTATTACATGAGTTTATGAAAGGCAGTGGGACTGAGATAAATGGATAGACTTGAGGTACAGATTGGCCAAAATTGACTGGAATGGTGGAATAGGCTCAAAGGGGTGAATGACCTCTTCCTGCTCTTTGTGAACGACTCGAAACAAAGTTACAGCTGAATATTTGAGTGAATCAACAATTCCAGGTCATTCAGTTATGACATAATTAGTTATGTTTAACAAAACATAACGTGGATTATGTAGCACTTTTCACAACTGTCACCTCCTCAGTTTGTTTTACATCCAATGGTATACCTCTTGAAGTGTGGTCACTGCTATAATGCAGTTATATAACTACTATAATTTGTGATCAGCAAGCTACCTTGTTATTGTGATGTTGTTTGAGGGGTAACTATTAACCCAGACACTGCAGATAACTTTTCTATTGTCCTGGGATCAGGCAGGACCTCAATTTAAAACCCTGCATAAACCAATGCAACGCTACCACCTTGAACTGCAACCACTTACATCTCAGGTATAGCAAGACAAAGACGAATTGGAAACAGACTAATTCTGTTCACGTTTGAATAATAGTGGAATAACTGCTATAATAAGTGACATTGAGCCAATCAAAACACAAATCCACATTCATGTTCATAGTCTTACCTTCCCAGAGATAACTAAAGGGACTGTGTGCTCATTTCAAATAGAGCACTGCAAAGTCTGTCTACAAATAATAATTTTTGCTGGTTGTTCTTAACTAAGGATTAGATCTCACTGTCCAAGAGCCTAAACAGTCTTACCAGTGAAGCAGCATTTCACCTGTACCTCCTCCAATCTTGTGTATTGTATTCGCTGCACCCAATGTGGCCTACTCTACATTGGAGAAACCAAACACAGACTGGGTGACCGCTTTACAGAACACCTCCAGTCTGTGCGTAAGCATGACCCTGACCTTGCTGTAGCCGGTCACTTTAACACAGCATCCTGCTCTCATGTCCACTTGTCTGTCCTTAGCATACTGCAATGCTCCAGCAAATCACAGCGCAAACTGAAGGAACAACTTCTCATCTTCAGACTAGGCGCTTTACAACCTTCTGGTCTTAATATTGAGTTCAATGCCTTCAGATTATGAACCCACTTCCATTCCTTCCCTTTCTTTTAGCTTTACTTGTTACATTCTCTGTCCCCATGTCCTCTCTCTCCCCTCCCCCCTACTCCAATGGGACTGTCTGTGCTTTCCAGTCTGGCAGTTAGACACACCGTTGCCCTGCCAGTCTCACACTCCAAACACTTAATCTGCACCGTCAACATCCTTTCTCCCCCAGCACTCCAACTCCCCCACTATTACATAAGTGCTGCCCCCTCCACACTTCAGCTCAAGCCTGATGAAGAGTCATGTAGACTTGAAACATTACCAAAAGGATGTGGATGCTTTGGAGAGGGTGCAGAGGAGGTTCACCAGGATGTTGCCTGGTATGGAGGGCGCTAGCTTTGAAGAGAGGTTGAGTAGATTAGCATTATTTACTTTAGAAAGACAGAGGTTGAGGGGGGACCTGATTGAGGTCTACAAAATCATGAGAGGTATAGACAGGGTGGATAGCAAGAAGCTTTTTTCCAGAGTGGGGGACTCAATTACTAGGAGTCACGATTTCAAGGTGAGAGGGGAAAAGGTCAAGGGAGATATGCGTGGAAAGTTCTTTACGCAGAGGGTGGTGGGTGCCTGGAACGCGTTGCCAGCGGAGGTGGTAGAGGTGGGCACAATGGCGTTGTTTAAGATGTATCCAGACAGATACATGAATGGGCAGGGAGCAGAGGGATACAGATCCTTGGAAAATAGGCGACAGGTTTAGATAGAGGATCTGGATCGGCACAGGCTTGGAGGGCCGAAGGGCCTGTTCCTGTGCTGTAATTTTCTTTGTTCTTTGTTCTTTTAGCTTGCTTTTTGTCCATGGATGCTGCCTGACCTGCTTCGATTGCCAGCATTTCTTGTTTTCATTACAGATTCCAGCATCTGCAGCAATTTGCTCTACTATTAGTACTTATCAAGGTTATTTGAGATCTTTCCAATGACAGTTTTTCACACGTTAGGTGAAGTTACTTCTTTTCCCCCCTTTATTCATTAATGGGATGAGGGCGTCGCTGACTAGACCAGCATTTATTGCCTATGGAGCAGTTCAGAGTCAACCACATTGCTGTGGGTCTGGAGTCACATGTAGGCCAGACCAGGTAGGGATGGCAGTTTCCTTCCCTAAAGGACATTAGATGAGCTTTTCCCCTGACAATCGACAATGGATTCAATGACTCATCATTAGATTCTTAATTCCAGATATTTTTTATTGAATTCAGGATCGGAACCCGGGTCCCCAGAACGTTATCTGGATGTCTGGATTAACAGTCCAGCAATAATACCACTCGGCCATCACCTCCCACCTTAATTTTGATTCAATTCATCTGTGAGTAAAAACACTCTCAGACACTCAGCAACTGCAACCTGAATGACATTGTAATAGAGTTGGTCTTAATAAGAGTGATGGTCTCTACTGGTCTCAATGTTTACCATTGCCTTCACAGAACTGCTTCTATTATTGGGGTTTTACTGCGTGGCTGGCTTACTTCATCAACCATCCCCTTTACACACCTCCCTGTAAGTGACACATTGTTATTCATGCTGCATCTCAAGTCACGAGCTGACTGTAATCCATTTTGATTATTGTCTTGTATTTGTCTTATTGTGATTTTGTTTTCTCGCTTTTACAGTATATGGTGACCAACAGGTCCATCTGGCTCTTTATACCTTCCTGGTAGGTTATAGCATCAAAACTTTACCCTGTCCACATCCTCATATGTTTCATATCAGATGTATCATACTAACAATAAAACTGAACAATCTGTAACTTAATGAGATCTTACGATCTATTTTAAGCACAATGGAAATCAGTGTTAATTATATTGATGCAGATCAACTAATGATATTAAAACAGACACATTAGGTCTTCACCCAATGAGTATAAAAATGTGGAAGAAGGTATCTGTTCCTCAAATTCAAATGTTTTCTTCACACTCCGTTTTACTGTAACTAATGGAAATCTTCCCCATTGTGAGCAGTGATCAAATTTAGGATTTGTTTTCCTCTTGCCATTACTTGTTGGAGAGTGGGATACCCTAGGGATTTTTGCACTTTCTGCTTGTGTTTTTTGACACTCACTCACTCACTCCGTCTTTATCTTCATATTTTTAAAATACAGGTGACCACATCTATAAGCATGCGTCCCACAAAGCTCTTAACCTCACTGATGCACTGCAGCGATACCAGCTGCTTTTCTCAAGCTTAATTTTTCCTAATCAACCTGTTCAGAGATGTTAACACACACCTCTGGAGCAGGTGGGACTTGAACCCAGGTTTACTCTGGCCAGAGGTAGGGATACTAACACTGCACCACAAAGGGTGATCTGCTGCAGCTAATATCAGTTCCTACACGTATGGTTATCCAGGACATGAGAAGCATCTTGGAGCTCCCACATGGAACAGGATCCACAGTTCATGGGTCTCAGCTGCACTGTCATACCCGTGTTTATTAGACAAATTAAATTGCTACTTAAAGACACACTTATTATATGGGGAGCTTCATTATGCCTGAAGTAGAGAAAACATCTATGTAGTCTATTTTATGTATGACTGTTGTTTCAGGGAAATGTGTGCCTGTTTCCTTTTGAACAATGAGCCGCAGAATGAAAAGTTCACTTTCACTTACTGATGTACACATGATAGCTGACTGCAAATGTCTGCCAGATGCAAGCCATTAGATTAACCACGATGTTAAAAGCCAAGCCTGAAGAAGTGTTATATCAGACTCGAAACATTAACTCTGCTTCTCTCTTCATGGATGTGCCAGACCTGCTGAGTTTCTCCAACCCTTTCTGTTTTTATTGTGTGACAGCTAATTTGATTTACAAGTGGTCAGAACATCAATAGTTATATGAAACCTGGTTAAAAAAAAATGTGAATGGCATTCCATTGGATTATTCTGGACAATTAATGGATCAACAGGCCTGATCGACAGTTTTCTTTACAGAGATGTGTTGATTTGTGGACTAGGTATAGCAACAAGGAATCAGTAGGGAATCTACCTCTCAAACATCAGCCAGACCATTATACTGTGTAGGAAATACGTTATAAAGAAGATATTTGAATCGTTATGGATCCAGTGTTATTTATAACCATTGGCACTCTTAGCGTCTTGCTGTAGTTTTGAGCTTTTTGTGTAATTAATTTTTGTGTAATTGTATTTTTAATGAATTGGACAAGTAGTTTTAGCCTGAATGCAATGTCCTGACAGTATTTATCAAGTTTAGAAATTTTAAATGAATTCAAATTCCAGGCTAGACTATGAAGCTGTTACTCTGGGTATGGTTAGCATGCTGCTGTAGAATCTTAAAGTGTATATTCTGGGGACTATGAACAGATGATAACTATATTGTGGTGATTTATGTAGGTATGTGAAATTGGAAATTTCTCAATCCATATAGCCCTGAGGAACCTGCGCTCTGAAGGTAAGCACCACTCTACTCTCCTGTTGGTGATCTCTATCCAACAATATGTTTCTGTCAGGAGATTAACTTAGAAAATATCACTGTTTGAAGCTGACTTGAATCCACTCCACCTCACCCTACAAGTAACTCGTCTTCATAATATTATTCTTCTGTTAGGAATTGGTTTGTAGTTTCAATGCTGGAAGATTGGCAACAGAAAAGTAACAGAATGATTAGGATGGAATAATGTTAATGCACGCAGTGCCTTTCGATTCCTTAGAATCTTCCATTGTGTTTAACACCCCATTAATCACTGCTGTAAGTACCAAGATTGTGGCAATATTCACCCAGTAACAGGCCACACATGGTAATGTGAAATGAGATAAATCATCAGTTTCTGGTGGTGGTTGAAGAACAAATGTTGGTCAGGATATTCAGCCATCTTCCTTAGCTTTTTTGGAATACCACTGCTCAACCCCCTTTGGTTTACCTAAACAGGCAGATAGGGCCCTGGTTTATCACTCACTCAAAATGAAACTCTGATGAGCTCAAAGCTCATGTGCTCTGAACCTAATTTTTAGACCATGCCCCCTAGTTCTAGAATCCCCAACCAGTGGAAATGGTTTATCTTTATCTAAACTGTCTTCTGCTATTAATATCTTGAAGACATTGATCATATCTCCCCCTAACCTTCTAAATTCTGGAGAAAACAAGTATAGTTTGTATAATGTCTCCTCATAACTCCTAAAGTCCAGGCACCATTCTTGTAAAGTGACATTATACTGTCCCTGAGGTCAGTACATCCTTCCTAAGGTGTGGTGCCCAGATTTGCTCACAATACTCCAAGTGGAGTCTGAGCAGGGTTTTGTATAACTGCAACATAACTTTTACATCCTTCTACTCCTATCCTTTACATATAAAGGCCAGCATTTCATTAGCCTTCTGTCCCTTAATTGAGCCTGATGTCAGATTCAATATCAAAGGGAATTGTTGTATCTAGTCCTGTACTTTCCTGTACCCTCTTTTTAACCTGCTCCTTACAATATAAACAGCAGAGAGACCATATAAACGAACTTCCATTGTGCACCTTCCTCAGAAAGTTATTCAATGAGTACTTTCCACTTTATAACAAAATGTTGTAAGAATCAACTGGCAAGTGTAGAACTATCCCAGAAATAAAGCCTGACCTCTGTAAGCTGCTGTTAACTTGTCGTGTTGCCTTCTTTCTGGCTCTGTTAGCTCTTTTGTCTGTTCTTAAATTTTTTTACAGTCAACCTGTTAGGACACACCTCCTGAGCAAGTAAGTCTTGAGCCTAGGTCTTCTGCATTAGAGATTGCACCAAAAGCAACCCACCCCACAACACTATTCTGTGTTTTTTTAGCTTCAGACAATCTCTATCTCCTTTTTGCTGTAAATCTCACTGCAGGGTATTAGTCAGCTTATCATCTTAAGCCTACATCACGCAGGAAGCTAGTTCAAGGTCTCTGTCAGAAGACAATTTTTTTTTCCACTTGGGAATGAGGGTACAGCAGGCATTTATTGCCCCACATCGCTGTAGGTCTGGAGTCACATGTAGACCAGACTGGGATGGGATGGGATGGGATGGGATGGGATGGGATTGGATTCCCCCCGCAACAATTGGCAATGATTCACAGTTATCATTAGACTTTAGATGTTTATTGAATTCAAATTCCACCATGTCCCATTGCAGGATTTGAACACAGGTCCCCAGAACGTTACCTGGGTCGCTGGATTAACAGTCCAGTGATAACACCACTAGGCCATTGCCTCCCCTTCAATCGCTTATGTAATTGTTCATTTATGATGACGAATGCTTATTGTTTCTCCCCCACAGGATCCAAGATGCGTAAGATTCCTTACCCAACAAAGAACCCTTTCACTTGGCTCTTTTTTTTTGTGTCCTGCCCCAATTACACCTACGAGGTATGTTGACAGTGGGGAGTGCTCACCCACTCATCACCAATGCAGAAGCTGTGTCAAACCAAAAGGCCTCTCACTGAAAGAGGAGAAGGTTCTGCATTAGATTGCATTGTTGCAGTGTTTGGAGACATTGCTTTTATGTCAAACTCACCCAGATATGGAGCAGAGCATAAACACTGCCACAAATGATGTCAGAAACTGTGCTTGTTTCTACTGACATCGCACCTTTCAACGTGCCTTTGGAAAGTAGCAAACAAAGAAACCTCAAAGCTGTAGTTTTTTTAAAAAAATGTCTTGATGCCAAGGGCTTGTTTCAGATATAAAGCAGGTGAACATTGCATGGGTTTGGGGGAGTGTGGTTGAGAAACTAGGGTTGGGGATATTTGGGGTCCTGAACACCCCAGACTCCTGTTGGAACAGCATTCCTTTGGGGTTTTGACAGGGTGCCCCCGAATTGCTATTGAGACAGGTTTCCTGTCTGATTTACAGAGATCAAACAGGGTGGGTGGAGGGTCAGCCTGAAGATTTACAGCTTCAACAGCTGCAGTAGAGGTGAGGTGGTGGGCCCTCACACCCGTGGTTTGATTAAAAACATACAACAGTGAAGAAATTCGCTTGACAGGCTTGCTTTAGGTATAGGCCCAGGCAGTCCAAGACGGTTTGTTTGACATACTGTCACGATGTGACCTGTCCAGGTAGTTGAACAATCTGCTCCCCCCACCCTTCAACCCCATCACATTGGGAAACAGGAGAAGTCCACTCACTTTTCATTTTGGTTATCAGAGTCAGCCAAATGAACTTAATTGTCTGCCTGTCCTGTTGGACCTCCGGTAATGTGGCCTGTACTGGGAGCAGATAGAGTCATAGAAATGTACAGCATAGAAACAGACCCTTCAGTCCAACTCATCCATGATGACCAGATACTCTAAATTAATCTAGTCCCATTTGCCAGCATTTGGCCCATATCCCAGTAAACCCTTCCTATTCATGTACCCATCCATTTGCCTTTTAAATCTTGTAATTGTACCAGTGTCTTCCACTGGCAACTCATTCCATACATTCACCACCCTCTGTATGAAAAGGTAGCCTCTTAGGTCCCTTTTAAATCTTTCCCCTCTCACCTTAAACCTATGCCCTCTTAGTTTTGGACTCCCCATCTTGGGGAAAAGACCTTGACTATTCACCCTATCCATGCCCCTCATAATTTTGTAAACTTCTATAAGATCACCACCCATCCTCTGACACTCTAGAGAAAATAGCTTCATCCTATTCAGCCTCTCTCTATAGCTCAAACCCTGCAACCCTGGCAACATCCTTGTAAATCTTTTCTGAGCCCTTTCGAGTTTCACAACATCCTTCCTAAAGCAGGGAGACCACAATTGCACACAGTATTCCAAAAGTGGCCTAACCAATATCCTGTGCAATATGACCTCCCAACTCCTATATTCAATGCATATGCTCAGATAGTACCGTCTGCTTCTGTTTCTGATCGTGACTGTGTCCGAAAATCTTGCTGCCAAACCTGGTTTAGTTGTTGCTTCTATGATATCCATATATCTTACTGAGACTGAGTGTGGTGAACAGGGGTGCAACATTGTATTTGGAAAAGTACATTTCAAACTGTGCAACATACTACATTTCACTTAAAAACAAGGGCCTACACTGGCCAATAGTCTTGAGTCAAACCATCTCATCTGTTTGCTTGTTGATCTGTAGGTAGGATCCTGGATTGGTTTTACTATAATGACGCAGTGTCTTCCAGGTAGGAAAATATATTGCAGTGTCTTAGATTTCCTATTTAAAACACTTCAGTGCAAGTATAGAAAAACATGTTTCCAATTGTCATTTAACCTTTTTCTTCATTTTGCTTTTCAGTCGGTCTCTTTACCCTGATTGGTTTCTTCCAAATGACTGTTTGGGCGAAGGGCAAGCATCATATGTATCTGAAGGAGTTTAAAGATTATCCCACCCTCCGCATGCCGATTATTCCTTTCCTGTTGTAATGTAGCACAGTTCTGAGGCACCAAAAATGGCAAAGCCTTCTTGGGAGAAATCCTCACCCTTATCCACACCCTGACAATTACACCAGGGCCTTCGGTGCATGTCAACCTTCAGCATGGGACTGCCAACTTGAAATGCTCATATCTGTATGACTGATTCAGATCACTGCATTAGCCCAACTCATTGTAGGTTGATTTATTTTATTATTCCTCATGGTTTACATTAGAAACCATCTCAGTCCTTCCTCAGTACCTTACATTAACTTTGCCTTAATGCAAAGCTTGAATGTTTAATCACTTCTCAAACTACACAGCCACAGCCATTGATACTGTACTGTCTGCTAAGCATGCTTGCTGTTGATTTAAGTGTACTGGGGAGCGATCCACTGTTTTCAAGGCTTTGTTTTGAAATATCTAGATGCTGACAACAAAGGGCAGCCCGCGTGTGTTATTTTGCAGATCCTTTGCTCATACTGTCTGTTGCCAAATAAAAATAATTTAGTTGAAATGCTTTCTTTTCAGATAAAATAAATACTAAATAAAGGGTGAAATGAGTGATGTTCTAGAGGGAAGCTCCTCTTGAGTGATGGCCCGTGTCACGGACAGAATTTACATGTTCTCGTACTGCCAGTATGATCCGTATGGTTTGTGATGAAAGAGGTGTGCCTTTTCTTACCCTTGGTATTTATACCCCAAATAAAATCCAGCAGCAAGCTTTTGTGAGTTTATAAATAAAATTTTTATTCTCTCACACGCTCTTGACATGTATACTCATGCACACAAAACCTAGCCACAGTTAAAGGTGGCACACTGATAAATTATGGTTGACTCATTCTTTAGCTGATCATCTTTGTTTTTCTTGTGGCAGTTTTCTCAGACAGTTTCAATGCTTTAAAATTAAGGTAAGTCTTGTTAAAGTGAATGATTTCAATGGACCATAAGGTTCCCTGTAGTTTAATTTCTAGGAGATTTCAATCTGATGATAATACCTTTTGAATAGGTTTCAGGAAAGGGCATTGATTCACACCATTCTGGAATGTTACTTTTGTTCTTCCATGAGACTGAGGAGTGCTGTCAATCTACAAAAGAAGTCAGCTGTCTGAGGATGACCATCTGTCCTGTATTAAAATGTATCAGTAATGACTGAAAGTCCATCACATACAGGGACATGATACCTGGTAATGTACAAAAACAGAAGTTGTTGGAAAAGCTCAGCAGGTCTGGCAGCAT